CAGGGAGTTCTAGTCCCGCCTTAGGCCTGAAGGGCGACTGGGTGACTGAACCAATCACCAAGAGATTGTAAGTCGAGAACTGGCTGTATCCTTTCCCGGTTGGTGACTCTCCCACCCACTGGTTTGCCCACAGGACATTCAGTGGGACATGGACTCTCATCCCCCGGCAGCCGCCGCACAGCCCCTCAGCCTCCCCAAGCCAACCCCCACGATGGACGCCCTTCCCGTGACGGCTGAGCTCTCCCTGACAGTGGTGGCGGAAATCCAAGCGGTGGAGAGCAAGGTGGATGCCTATGCCGCCCAACTCATGAACCTGGAAGTTCGGATGAGCATGGCCGAGACCAAGCTGGACGGCTGCGAGAAGACGGCGGTAGAGTTCGGGAACCAGCTGGAGAGCAAGTGGGCCGCCTTGGGTACCCTCATCCAGGAGTACGGGCAGCTCCAGCGGCGCCTGGAGAACATGGAGAATCTCCTGAAGAACCGGAACTTCTGGATCCTGCGTTTCCCGCCAGGTGCCAAGGGGGAGGCCCCTAAGGTGAGAGCTGGGGTGGGGTGAGACTGGCGGGAACCAGGGGCCTAATGATTGGTTGGGGATGATGGGAGGGGCAGGTCAGCCTCTGGCAGCAGGTTTTTGCCCAAGAATCCCCCGGTTGGCTTGGTTTAAGAGGGGAGGGGTTCAATTCCCAGAATCCCCCATGCTTTAAGAAGGGTGGGTTTTGACTCCCAGAATTCCACAGCTGGCATGTGGTTCAGAAGGGTGGGGTTCAATTCCCAGAATTACCCAGCCAGTATGCTTTAAGAGGAGTGGAGTTCAAATCCTAGAACTGGGGATCCAGGTTTCCCCAAATCTTACCGACAAATTCTGTCGTTCTTGCCTTAACTTTTCTCATTGCTGAAGTTGCATTTTGTTGGATAGGGCCCTGTGTTCAAGTCCGTCAAGATCTTTTTTTGATCTTGAGACCTATCTTCTGAAGGTTTGGTTACTCCTGCCTGCTTGGTATTGTCTGCAAATTTCATGAGTTCCCCTTCTATCCCCTCATCTAAATCAGGGGTCTCCAACCCTTTGGTTGCGAAAGATTTACACCCGGGGTTCAGAAATATTTGGCGACCACACGGGCACACCCTTGCGGCCTCAGTTGCAAGAGCAGCAGGCGAGTGCGAGCGCTCTCCATTTGAGCAATTGGCACTCATGTACACCAGTTGTGCAAAGGAGCTGCGTGTGCATTTGTTGGCTGCTCTCATAGAACCATTCTTCTTTCCGCCGCAAAGCCGCAAAGGTTGCCGAACTCTGATCTAAAGTGTTGAAGACCTCGCGTTCTCACCCTGTGGCAGGTCCCGTTGCTGTTCGATGATGCTGCCTGCAGTTTCTCGGAGCAAGAGTGGAGGGGTCTTGATGAAAGCCAGAAGGACCTTTACCGCCACATTATGATGCACAACTACCAGGCGGTGGTCTCCGTCGGTAAAAGTGGGCTGGCGTCAGGGCTGGGGCCCACAGTGATCAGCTGCGCGACTCTCAGAGAGAAGCTGGCCAGGCGGCTGCGGGTGGATCGGAGCATGGCTCTGTAGTGGCTTGGTGGTGTTGTGGCTGGGTTCTCCCAACGCAGAACGGTTGTGTAGTTTCGCCCGGAGAGGGGTAGTGGATATCCGGGCTGTGTCCAGGGAAGGAAGGGTCTACCTTGGGATTCCATAGACCTCCATTCCCCATTCTGATGTTTTCGGAACCCAAAGCGAGTTCTCTCGTAGACAGTCCTCAACATATGATCACAATTGTGCCCAGCATTATCGTTGCAAAGTGAGATGGTTGCTCAGTTAATTTTGTCCCATTTTGACGACCTTCCTTGCAACAGTGGTTAAGAGAATCGCTGCAGTTGTTCGGCTAGTCACAGCTTCATGAAGGGAACCTGGCTTTCCCCATTGGACGATGCTTGTCCAAAGATCGTCAAGGGGAATCGTCGGGGGGGAGGGGGTCACGCGATTCCCTTTGATGATCTTTGGACAAGTATCGGTACACTGCAACCATTATAAATATGAGTCAGTCGCTAAGCATCCAAATTTTGGATTGCGTGATCATGGGGATGTTCCAACGGTCGTTAAGTATGAAAAACGGTTATTAGTCCCTTTCTTCAGTATGAATAGTCAGCAGTGGGGTGGGCTCTTACCAGTTCGCACCATTTTGGGCAAACCAGATGTGAATTGGCAACAACTGGCTGACCCTGCCCACCCTTCCCTTCCCAAGAATCTTCACGCAGTCCGTTTTGGATCCCAGGTAAATGCAAGGCTGCAGAGAGGCTGCTTTCACTCTCCCGGAGCCTGGGGACGACGAAAAAGTTCCGGAAGGCTGGAAATGGGCCTATTTCCGGCCTCCAGAGGGCCTCCAGAGCCCGGAGAGGCCGTTTTCGTCCTCCTGGAGGCTCAAGAAAAGCCTCCGGAGCCTGGGGAGGGTGAAAACGGCCCCCCTCCCTGCCGTGGTGCAGGAGGCCGACTAGGCCACGGCCACCCAGCAACCAGGCAGAAAACTGGTTGCTAAAGTTTTGGAAGCCCACCTCTGACAGTCACTAAATGAATGCTTTGTAAGTCCAGGACAAGACCTGGACCGCGATGCTGTTTTTTTTCTCTGCAGATGCGGCTGTCTCCAAACCGGAACTCCTCACCCGGATTGAGCAAAGAGAGACCTTGGAGCAGAACGATGGCAGAGGAGACTACCCCCGTGACGAGTCCAGCTTCGGCAACCAGCCAGGTGGGGTGGGGGCACTTCCCCTCAGGCTTCCCCTTCCTCTGGTTTTGAGAATTTTTTTCCAGCTTAAAAACTTTGCTCTTTTATTTGGTGTTGTCTTCTAAATCGAGGAGAATTTTCAGGAGGTGGAATATGCTGACGAGTGCTGGAGACCCTTCCCCTCCGTACCTGCTCATTTCCTAACTGGATTCTAAGCCTTTAGCTTATTTTTTTTCCAACTTGGTAACTTTAAGATTGCTTGGGTTCAACTCTCGGAATTCCCTCGCCATCATGCTTTAAGAAGGGTGGACTTCAACTCCCAGAATCACCCAGTTAGTGTGGACATCTGAAGGCATGTTGGCTGGGGGATTCTGGGAGTGGTAGTTCACCCACTTTGCATTCTCCGAGTTTCAAAAAGACTGATTTAGCCAACGGAACAAGGAGAGGGGATGTGGCGGGAAGTGGGAATGTGGAGCCCTGGGAGTGACGACCCTCGTCTCCTCTCCCTTTCGCACAGGATCACCAATTTCGGCTCCGCGCGGGAGTTCCTGGATTGAGGAAGAAGATCTGTCTCTCGTCAAAAGCATGGGGGCCTTAGAGGACAGAGAAATCCCTGGGGAGTGCACCATGGGTAAGAGAGGAGACGGGACACCGGGGGAAGGAGTGAGGGGCAGGTGACCCGTTAAGCCCCAGCTCCTGTTTGTCCAATCATCCAATGGGATGGTTTGCTTGTGAAACTACAGGGACATAGACAGAGCAACGTTGGACTACTCAAGGGGGTTAGTCCGAGATGTCCCTGGTGGCTCTAGTGTCATGAGTGTCAGTCCTGCCTGAACTTGAACCTTCAACCAAGCAAGAACGATCCTTGAGAAAGGTATAGTTTACTGAAGGTCAAGTGAAATACAATAAAGCAAAGCCAGAACAGAGGTTTGCGCACCAAAGGTATAGTTTAGCCGGTTCGAGGGTCCTCGTCCGGCACTCTCTTTCGCCCACGTTTTTTTTTTTTTTTCTTTGTCTTGTTAGCCATGACTTGTCCCAGCTGGGAAAATGTGTGGGTGAAGGGCACACCAAGGGGTCAGGAAGGAAGGCGCCCAGGGGTCTCCAACCTCTGAGCCACGGGGAGGGGTTTGCAACCGGGTCGCGGAAGCGACAGGTGCACACAGACTCAATCCCCACCTGCGTGAGCAGCAGGAGGCAATGTGCACACCTACTCCATTTGCATAAGCGGCAGAGGCGCGCATACGCTGTAACGGTGGTGGGGTCCCAAATGGCGCGCTATCGATTCTGTGCGCTTCGCATTCAAAGATCGGCCTCGGTAAGGTGAGCTGTTATTTTAGCTCAGCTGAGGCGTGGCACAGCGCGAATCGGCTGAGCTAAAAAAAAAAAAAAATCAATGGAATAAAGGGTGGGTGAGGCCAGCCAGAGGTGGTACTTGCTGGTTCTCCGAAGTACTTAAAAATTTCGCTACCGGCATGCCAGAACCAGTCCGAACCAGCTGAATACCACCTCTGACGCCCTGCGTGCAAATGGAGGTGTGCATGCGTTCGCTTTCTTGTAGGTCACTCGTGCAGAACCATCCCATCTCTCCCTCCCTTTCCCGCCGGCCATTCCTAACGGCCGGAAAAGTTGGGGAACTCCACCCTGGATGATCTCTTGACTCATATGACAAGGATCCAAGCAGGAGATGGCAGTATGGGGCATGCAGAAGAAGGGAGAGGAGACCTTACCTCTATAGCAGGGGTCGGCAACCTGCGGCTCTGGAGCCACATGCGGCTGTTTTGGCCCTCTGCTTTGGCTCTCTTCAGCAGCATGGGGACTCTAGGATCCATGAGCTGGGCTTCGGGGTGGAAAGGGCCTTCACAGGAACACAGTCCCTGTCGTGCAGCTCCGAGTTGGCCACGACATGCCGCTCTCAGCCCCAAAGAGCCAAGATGTTGAGCTTTGGCTGAGCTTGCTTGGTCAGGATTTGAATTCAGGCCTGCAATATCTTTTCTCACTTCTCCTCTACCACAGACACCCCCCCCCCCCCCCAAAAGGCTGAAAGGGCCGATCCATCTGCCTGGAAACAGGGGTCGGCAACCTGCAGCTCTGGAGCCACATGTAGCTCATTTGGATCTCTGCTGCGGCTCCCTGTTGGCTGATCCCACCACTGGCTGACCCCTCCCCTCCCCGTCACTCCTCGCCTGGCCTGAGAATTAAGAGTGATGGCGAGGGATGGAGACTCGCTCCATATTCCAGGGCAGCAGGTGACTGGGTGGGAGTGAGTGATGTTGAGTTGGCTACACACCCACCCAATCACACCGGTTAAATTATTAGCTCCCAGTGTTGTTTTTTTCTGTGGGAAACCGGCCCAAATGGCTCTTTCAGTGTTTAAGGTTGCAGACCTCTGCTCTATATACTATAAACAGCCCTGCTGGGCGCGTCCCTCCTCTGTCACCGGTGTCCTTTCTTTCGCCAGGTGCTCCTCAGCTGTTGGAGGACGATGTGGACAACCTCTTCCCCCACAAGTGGACCGAAGTTTTCCAGGGTCCTGGAGAGGAGCTGCTGTGCGAGAGCCAGTCTGTCTCTGTCGCCCTGCCCAAGAAGCCCCTCCGGCGGTCCACGCAGGGACCGTCAGAGACACAGAAAGAGCATTCGGCCCCATCAGCTGCAGAAGCTCACCCCGGCCCCTTCATCTGCTGCGAGTGTGGAGAAGGATTTGTAGACAGGCAGCTTTTCGCCAGCCACCAGAAGACCCACGGCGGAAGCGGGGCATATCTTGTGCCAGAGCCTAAAGGGAACCCGGCAGTTAAATTCACCCCCTTCTCTATCCAGAGGGCCCCAACTCCTGCCCGTCCCAAAGTGCACAAGCGCCCTGAGCCGCAGAGGAGCCCAACGGTGAAACCCAGCGCAGTGAAACGGCCTGGGAACCACATGGTAGAGCGTCCCTACACATGCACCCAGTGCAAGGAGAGCTTCAAGCTGGAGGTCAGCCTGCTCCTTCACCAGAAACTCCATGCGGGGAAGGGCGACGGGCCGCTGACCTGCACCTACTGCGGCAAGGACTTCCGGGACCTCTCCAAAGCTGTGCGCCACCAGCGGATCCACACGGGCGAGCGGCCGTATCAGTGCACGGAGTGCGGGAAAAGCTTCATCCGGCGGGACCATCTGTTGAAACATTGGCGTGTCCACACGGGCGAGACGCCCTACCAGTGCGCTACTTGTGGGAAGAACTTCCGCTACAAGGAGTCACTGAACTGCCACCAGAAAATCCACACCCGCAACCCCACCGTGCGCCACCTCATGCTGGGAACACAGTCGGGTCTGATGGGCCTGAAACCTGAGCAGCCGTAGCGTTGCCGGGTGCCCATCTGAAAGGGATGTGCCAGCCCTTGGGGGAGTGTCCCAGTTTGGGCGGTGGTGGGGTAATGTACTCTTGGGGGCAACAGGAGCATTGATTGCCTCCTTTGTCCTGTGCTGGATGCCAACACGTAAGCTGTGTGCTGCTCCTGTGCAAGGGGTCATGTGACAGTTGCATTTGAGTGGACTGCAGAAGTATTGTAGCCTGCTCACCCTGCACCTCCTTGCATGCAAATACCCCGTCGCTCTCTCCAGACCGTCCCCCTCAAATCCCACTCATTTCCTTGCCACGTCCGCTTGCCGGTACGAGTTTGCCTTGCTGCGTGTACCCTCTACACACGTATCGACGTCCTTCAGGTTTCACAGTGCGCCGCAGAGGTTGGCAAAATGGCAGTGGGCCCCCGCAAGAATCAAATTGGTTCTCCTTCAATCCTGCCCACTCAGGATGGTGGGGGGGGGGGTCCTCCCACACCTCCACGGAACTTGGAAACGCCCACCCGCCCCCATTTCCCACATCCTTGTCCTTTAGTTGGCGTTGTCTGTCTTCTCCATTTCACTTTCGAAACTGTGTTTGATCCGTGTGAGAACAACTCTTAACGCCCAGCTCTTGTGTTGTGTGTGGTTTCGCTGTGTGATGTCCTCCGTGGGATTTTGTGTTGCCTGGCTCCCCAAGCTCTTGCACACATTGGGACTGCCAAGATCTACCCTCCATTGTTGTGGTGGTGTTGGTTATTATTATTTTCCCAAGGTATCTGTAAATATTGGTTTGCTATGAATTGCCCTGTTGTTGTTGAACTCAATTGTTGGCTGAAGTGACAGTGAGAAATCGGCTTTTCTTCTGTGTGACGTCCAGTGTTTGGTCTCTGTGGCTACAGTTTTTGGGGAGGGGTTGTTGGTTTTTTTGTATCACCTTCTTTGGCAAAAACATGTCTGTTCGCTGTGTCTCCACCTGACGTCTTTGTCATCTGTGGGTTTAGGGTTGGGTCGTTTGACTGCTCTCGAGTGTGAGAGATTTCGGGTTCAGACCAGCTTATCCTGAACCTCCCCATCCTATACAAACAATCATCAACATCACGACGGCTTACTTAGCGAAGTTCAGGCTTACAGGTAGTCCTCAACTTACGCCAGTTCATTTAGTGACCTGCACTGGAAAAAGTGACTTGTGACATTTTCACACAGAGAAGCGTAGCATCTCCAAGATCAGGTGATCCAAATTAAGGCAACCGACTCCTATTTATGACCATTGCCGTGTCCCAAGGTGATTGAGTGACTGTCTCGCTTTAGCTGCTGAAATTTTGGCCTTGATTGTCGTCGTACACATCATCCTCAACTTACAACGGTTCACTTAGTGACTGGCTAGAAGATTCTGGGAGTTGAAGCCCACCCCCCGTAAAGCATGCCAACTGGGGGATTCTGGGAGTTGAAATCCATCCACCTTGAGAAATGCTGGATTAGCTCTTAAATCCAATTCCCCCCCCCCCCCCCGTATCACTAAACTAATTTTGTCACGTTGTGAGACCCAGCCAGTGCCATTGATCTCAACTTACGACTATCCCCTTTGCAATCATTCAAAGTTACAGCGGACTCCTCTCTTCCCCCCCCCCATCCCCAAAGACCCTTATAACCCAGTTCCGAAGTTGCAACTCCCCCATTCATATGATTTGAACGCTGAGCCTGCATTGATAGCTCTCAATTTATAACAATTTGCTTAGCGACCACTCAGAGTTACGACTGCGTTGGAAACAATGGACTGATGGCCGTTTTTCCACTTAGTGACCACGGGAGCCTCCCCTTGGTCACGGGATCAAAATTCAGGAGGCTTGGCAACCAATTCGTTCTCACGATAGTCCCGGGGCTGGCTGATCCCCTTTTGCGACCTTCGCTTCAGGGGGATGGAAGCCAGATTCACTTAACGACCATGGTGAGGAACGTAAACCACCGCAGTGAATCGCACTGAAGAACGTAACAAGGGCCGGGATTCCCTTAATGACTCCTGCCGAGATGGGTCGTAAAATGGGACAAATGCCCCCCGCCCCCCCACAGGTCTCGGTCCACAACGGCTCCCTTGTGGTCGTAAATCGAAGACTTTCTGTCTTCCAGCCAGGGGCTCCATCTTTGAATTGAATACCCACAGAAGCCCACTTCAGCCTCCCACTCCTACCCCATAAATCTGCCGTGGGCCTAAGCCAGAAGTAATGGCAGGGGTGGTGGTGGAAAGCGTGGAAACCGGTTCGGGCCGGTTCACATGAACCGTATGTTAATTTTACATCCAGTCCCGCGAACCTCTCAGGTAAGCGCAGGGAGGCCTCCCGGGCCCAAAACGGGATGCGGGGGGGTGGGGGGCGAAAGAAAGAAAGAGAAAGGGAGGGAGGGAGGGAGGGAAGGGCGAGAAAAGGGGAAGGTGGGAAGGGAGAAAGAGGGAGGGCTGGAAGAAAAAGAAAGAAATTGAGGTACGGAAGGGAGAAAAGAAAGGGAAGGAAGGGAGAAAGAAAGAAGGAGGGAAGGGAGAAAAAGAAAAAGGGAGGGAGGAAAAAAAAAGAAGGGAGAAAAAGAAAGGGAGGAAGGAGAGAAAAGAGGAAAGGGAGAAAGAAAAACAGGGAAGTGAGAGAAAGTGAGGAAGGGAAGGGAGAAAAAATGGAGGGAAGGGAGAAAGAAGGAAAGAGGGAAGGAAGGAAGGGAAGGGAAAGTGAATGAGATATGGATTGATGGATAGAGGGAGTGAGGGAAGGAGAGAAAAAGGAGTGGAAGGAAGGACCACAAACCCTGGCACTTGACGCAGCTTCAGAGGATGCTTTGAAACAGCCCAGCCATCCAGGGCTGGAAGGGACCTCAGAGATCATCTAGTCCCACCCTCTGCTCCAGCAGGAGAACTTATATCGGTTATTTTGGGGTTTTTTATCTACAAAGCCACACCCACCCAGTCACATGACCACATAGCCATGCCCACCAAGCCACGCCTACAGAACCAGTAGTAAAAATGTCTGAATCCCACCACTGCGGCAGAAGCCCCCCATCCAGAACAGCTACTTTGGGGGAGGGGGGTGGGAACGGAAGCCGCTTGGGGACTCTAGGACCCATGAGGCTGGGCTTCAGGGTGGAAGGTGGCCTTCCCAGGAACGCAGACCCTCTCGTGCAGCTCCAAGTTGGCTGTGATGCGCCACTTGCAGCCCGAAAGAGCTGAGACGAGCTTGCTTGGGCCAGAATTCGAATTTGGGTCCACCATTTTCCCCCCCTCACTTCTTCTCCACCACAGACACACAACCACTCCCCCCTCCCAAAAAAGGCTGAAAAGGCCGGATGATCTGCCTGGAAACAGGTCTGCAACCTGTGGCTCCAGAGCCACCTGCGGCTCCCTGTCGGCTGATCCCACCGCTGGCCCCGCCCCTCCCCGTCACTCCCCACCTGACCTGGGAAGGTTAAAGGTGATGGGGGGGGAGACTGGCTCCATATCCCAGAGCAGGAGGGGGCTGGCTGGGAGGGAGGGAGGTGCAGTTGAAATGGGTCCAAATGGCTCTTTTGAGCGTTCAGGTTTGCCGATCCCTGGCCTGGAGGGTCCCTCCCTTTTTGAGCCCTAATGGAGGTTGATCGACTGTTGAAAGGGAGACTCTTGAGACCATCCAGTCCAGCCCCTGCTGGCTGCAAGCCACCATCTCTTCTGGGGTGGGGGCCTCAAATCCCTCCCGATTGTCACTTGCGAACCCGCTTCCTTGTTACTCCAGACTCTTCACAGCATGACAGAATGACAAGAGTTGAAGGGGACCTGGGAGGTCATCCAATCCCAACTCCCAGCTCCAGCAGCAGATCCTTACAGAAGCACTGGAGGACCAGCTTTCTCGGAGGGGAGGTTACTTCCCTCCACCCCAATTTTTTTATAGTCCTTCTCTGAATTGACAACCCATCGTCCCCCTCCTTTCTTGAACCTTCAGCCAAAAGAGGCAGAACCAATAAAAGAGAATATTTGTGGCTCAAGGTTGGAATGAAGGGTCCTTGGGGGTCTCTGAGCTGGGGGGTTTTTTTCTTGCAGACGTTTCGTGACCCAACTAGGGAACATCATCAGTGCTGGAAGGAAGGAAGGAAGGAAGGAGAAGAGGAAGAAGAGAAGGGGAGGAGAAAAGGAGGAGAATGGAAAAAATGGAGGAGAAAGGGGACGGAACGTCACCCGACCAGAAGACTATACCAGTCTTATTTTAAAAAAAACACACACACACAACCCTTCCTCCGGGCACTGATAACGTTCCCTAGTCGGGTCACAAAACGTCTGCAAGAACCCCCCTCTTCTTCCCCCCTCCCACCAGCAGCTCAGCGAGGCAGATCAGAGGGTCTTCAGGGCTCCTGATCTGGGGGGTGGGGGGAGCTCTTGACTCAACTTGGAGAATCGCCTCCGCGGCTCCGCCTCGTTTCGCGTTCGAGTTCCCTTCCTCAGACTCGTTCGAGACCCCCGCCAGGCTCTCGGGAAGGAACCTCCTCTACCCCGCCCACCCGGGCCATCTACCCCAGCCGATCCCACCCACCCTAAAAGCGGAGATATTCCACCCCCTCCGCCCTTAAATGCGCTCCCAGGTGCATGTTAAAGACCCCAGCCAGGTGCGACCTGGCTGGGATGGAAGGGGGGGGGGAAAGCGGGGGGGGGCGTCGGCTTGCTGCTGCGGGTGCGCGGCTCCTCCTCTTCCTTCGGAGCCCTCCCCCAGTCCCCGTCCCCGCCGCCGCCCCTCCGCAGCCTTGGCGTCGTCCTAGCCCACCGCCCAACCGTGGGAAAGAAATGGCAACACCGTGGGAACCGCCGAATCTGCAGGTATTTCGAAGCTTCTGAGCCGCAGCTTTTTCAGAGCTCCGGAGACGCATCCGCCCATCCCTTCTTCTCGTCCCGATCCGGAGAGATAGGCGCTTTACTCCAGCAACGCTCTCTCTCTCTCTCTCTCTCTCTCTCTCCTTTAGTCCAGGGTGAACCATGCGGGCGCTCTGCGTACGCTCAGAGGCTTGATCTTGCTCCTCCCAAGGAGAAAAAAGCCCCCCCCCCCGAAAATTGGGAGGGCGGGAGAGGGACACACAGAAAGAGGTGCTCCTCCCCTCTTCTTTCCCCTGGTGTCAGCCAACGGGACATCGGATTTCAGGATTTGCTACTTAGTAATTCTGACATTTTTTAAAAACAAACAAACGAACTCTGGTTGGTTACTTTCCCAACCTTTTCTTTTTGTTAAATGGCTGCTAAACCAGGAATTGTGGTTTGTAAGTGGGAATGGGTTTTGTCACGGTTTCTAGGTGGGGACTTTTGGGGAGGGCTGTTCTTCCCACCCCACTAAACCAGGAAATAGTGGTTTGTTGCCCCTGTTAAACCAGGAATTGTGGTTTGTAAGTGGAAGTGGAGTTTGTCATGGTTTCTGGTTGGGGACTTTGGAAATCACTGTTCCCCTGCTCAACCAGGAATTATGGTTTGTAAGCGGAAAACTCAACAGTTCATTTAGCAACCGTTTAAAGTTACAACGGCGCTGAAAAAAGGGACTTAGGACCGTGTTTCACACTTATGACCGTTGCTGCCTCCCCATGGTCAAAATTGAGACACTTGGTAACCAGTTCGTATTTATGACGGTTGCTGCATCCCAGGGTCACGCGATCCCCTTTGGCGACCTTTTGATGAGCAAAGTCAAGGGGGAAATCGAGATTCACTTTGCGACCGGGTCACTGACTGAACAACTGCAATGATTTACTTAACAATGGTGGCAAGAAAAATCGTAAAATGGAGCAAACTCACTTAAGAAATGTTTTACTTAGCAACAAATTTTGGGCTCAATGGTTAAGTTTTAGACCTTGTTTTTAGCCATGATTGGTAAGTGAATCAGTGCAGTCGTTAAGTGAATCTGACTTGCTTCTTTGACATTGGTTGTTGGAAGTCTCAAAAGGGGATCACGTGACACACACACCCCCGGGACACCAAAATGTTGCCTAATAGAGGTAGTCCTCGGTTTACAACACTTCATTTAGTGACTGTTTGATATTATCAAAAGTGTCTTATGACTTTTTCACACTTACAACTGTGGCAGACTTGGATTTTACAACGGTTGCAGTGTCCTGGGGTTACGCGGTCTCTGTTTTACCACTTGCTGACAAACCACATCAAAAGGGGCAAGCCGGATTCATTTAACGACCGCTAGATTGACTTTAACATCCGGACTGATCTGCTTAACTGTCGGTGGGGAAGCCTGATTTCATAGATAGCCAAGTTGCCGACTTTACAACCGCTGGGATTTGTTTAATGACAGGGGGAAGAACGGTCGTCAAAAACGGGGCCAGAACTCACTTGCACGACTCTCTTCACTTAGCCACAGAAATTGGGGGAGTGGTCCTTGAAGTCGTACATCGAGGACTTCCCATACCCCGATTTGGACGTTCAAGTACCCAGATGTTCAGGTGATGGTCGTAAATGTGATGACGGTCCTAAGTGTGAGGACCTGTTTCCTCTGCCGAACAGCCGTGAAACAAATATTGCTTAGGATTTGCCGTAGAAGCTCCCAGATGGAGAACAGGGGATGAGGGTTGGGGGGGGGAAGTCTACCAGTTTGGACCGGTTCTATAGAACCGGTTGTTACAATTCTGCCCAGTTGGGAGAACTGGAAAATCGTGTCCTTGGCTGGCCCCGCCCCTCTCCGCCCAGTCAGTCCTTATGGTATTTCCCCCCACCCCACCGACGATCCGCTGTGCCAGGATGCCCCTCGCTGTCTTCCTGCTTCGCCCGGAGGCAAACAAAATGGAGGGGAAAAGAAAGGAAGCCACACCCACCCAGTCACATGGTTAGACCCATCTAGCCACGCCCACCAAACTGGTAGTAAACATATTTGCATCCCACCCCTGGTTTGGGTGGTTTTATTGACCGTTTTTGTCCTTAGTGGAACCGAGCCGTCCCGCCCCCGCTGGTGCCGCCCCCGGGACTCTTTTGGACTCTCCCCAAACCCGGATGCGAACCAGCGGCGATCCACCGGCAAGCGACCGAATTTTCCCTCTGGACGTTGCTGGCAGCCATGCAGGCGGTGGAGAGGAAGGTGGATGTGCACTCGGGACAGATCCGGACTCTTCGACGGCGGGTCGATCTGGCGGAGCGCAAGCTCTCGGCGACAGAGAAAGCGGTGACCGACTTTCTGCCCCACCTGGACGCACTGGGGACGCTGGTCCGGGCCTATGAGCAGCTGCAGAAGCGGCTGGAGACGGTGGAGGAGAGATTGAAGAACCCCAACCTTTGGGGGCTGAACGTCCCACCAGGCGCCGGAGGGGAAAGCCCGCAGGTCAGAAGGACGGGGATGGAGACAATTCTAGCGGGACCTGTAGTCGTAAGCTTAATTGTTGCTTGGGCAATAAAACTGATTCGGTTTGGCAGGGTTGGGGACAGGAGAAGGCCAGGGCGTCAGGGGAGGGGAGGGAGGATTGGGGGTGAGGAGGTTTTCGAACCTGTTCCTTGCTTGAATCCAGAACAACAATATATTAGATTTGTAATCTGTCTATCTGTCTGTATGTCTTTCTCTCACTCACTTTCTATCTATCTTCAATAATTTATTATAAAATATCCATCTATATTTATCCATCTATCCATCCATCCATCTCTCTCTCTCTCTCTGTTATATATATATCCATCTGTCTGTCTGTTTGTCTATCTCTAATCTCTCTCTCATCTCCTACTCTATCTCTCATCCATCCATATCTATCTATATTTATACAGCTATCTCTCATATTTCTCTCTCCCCCGTATATATGCTGTACGTATGTACGTACGTACGTACGTATGTATGTATGTATGTATGTATGTATGTTTGTATCTCTACAGCTGTCTATCTTGGCAAACAACCCTGGGCTGTTCACAATTTTTAAAAAAATTACAATTAAAGCCTTAAAATAATTTGAAAACACTAAAAAAAAATGTAAAAAACGAATGAATGTGTTAAGAGGACGAATGCAAGGAGACTCACAAAGCCAGAGAGGTGTTCTCCCTGCCAAGTGGCTAGAATGCCTGTGTGTGTGTGTGTGTGTGTTTCTGTTTCTCTCTCTCTCTCTCTCTCTCTCTCTCTCTCTCTCTCTCTCTCTCTCTCTCTCTCTCTCTCTCTCTCTCTCTCTCTCTGTGTGTGTCTTAGATATGGCGTGGGTGGTCCCAGAAGCGGGGCGCATTTTGGGAGGAGACCACGCCCTCCCCAGCTGATCCGGGATCTCCTGGCTTCTGTTTTCCAGGTTCCTGTGAAGTTCGGCAACGCCTCAGCTTACTGCTCAGAACTGGAGTGGGAGGACTTGAACTCGGGAGCACCAACGCGCCAGAAGGTCAAGGAGTCCTTGGTTTCAACTGGTAAAGGGAATCCAGAGGGATTTTGAGAAAAAGGGGGTTGGCCCAAATCTCGGAGGTGACGGAAATAAATTGGGCTGGATGCGTTGGGAAGAATGAGGAGAAGAGACAAAATTTCAACTTAAGCAACCAGAGGAAAAAAAATTTTTTTAGTCCTCAGCTCACAACCACAGTGACCTCAAAACATTCATTGCTAAGCTTGACGGTTGGGAAGTCCCGTCCCGCCTCCCCCCCCGCAATCACTATATCTCTATTAAATCTCTCTCTCTGTCTGTCTATTCATCCACCTATCTCTATCTATCTCTATCTTTGTGTATCTCTCTCCATCCATCCATCTTCCTTGCGGGGTGGAATCTGGGCAATTGAATGGAGTTGAGTGTTTACTGCCCAGATGCCCTTCCTGCCACTAATGCGGAGTTTTGTTCAGCAGATATATTCTCATTGTGCCCAGATCTATATCCCCCTGCCCCCCCCCATCTCTCTCTCTGATTTTCTACAACCACCTATCTTAGCAAACAACACTGGGCTGTTTACAATTTAAAAAATTACAATTACAGTCTTAAAAACATTTAGAAAACAATAAAAACAGGAAGAACCATTATAACAGTCTCTCTCTCTCTCTCTCTCTCTCTCTCTCTCCCCCCCCTCTCCCTCTCCCTCTCCCTCCCTCCCTCTCTTTTTCTCACCCCCTCCAGATTGTGCTTCCTCCAAACCTGGTTCATTATCCCCAACGAAAGGAGGGGCACCTTTAAGTGGGAAGCACCAAGGGACCTCTGGGGAAGCAGAAGACATCCAGCAAGACAGAACAGGTAATTTGCAGGGGACCCATTCCCGCAGCCAACAATTCCAAAAGAATTCCCAAATGCTTTGTTTTCTTATCTATTCCCTAGAAACTGTTGTCCTCTTGCGGACTGGCGCCGTAGCTGACACAGAGCCTGGAAACCTGGATCAGTTCAGTCCCTTGCCTGCATCTTTGGAGCAAGACGTATCGCCCTCCTCAGAGGAGGGCTTGGTGCCAGTGGACAGCCGGACGGGTGCACTGCAACCGTCGACTGAGTCTGGAGGAGACATCGCAAATTTTACTACCATCGTCGTCCAGGAAGGAGTACTTCCTGGTGAAGCGCCGTACGTGTGTCCTGATTGTGGTAGGAGCTTCTTGTATGAGGAACAATGCGCCTTGCACCAGCAATCCCATCTCCAAGTCTCTCCTGACCGTGGAGACACTCCTGCACAACATCCCCAGCCAGAGGTCAGGGCGTATACCTGTCCAGATTGCGGGCGCTGGTTTCCCCACCAGGCCAGCCTGAGCAAACACCGCCTCTGGCACACGGGCGATCGGCCTCACACTTGCGCTGAGTGCAAGAAGACTTTCCGACTGAAAATCAATCTGCACCTTCACGAGCGTACTCATGCGGTCGCCAAAAAAACCGGCTTGTACATCTGCAGCCAGTGCGGCCGGACATTCAACCATCACTCGAATTTCTTACGGCACCAGATGATCCACACCGGGGAGCGGCCATACACCTGTGGGGAATGCGGGAAGACATTCATCCGTAAGGAGCATCTCGCCACCCATGGGCGGCTGCACACAGGCGAGCGGCCCTACCAGTGCCCACTTTGCCCAAAGAGCTTCACCCGCAAGCAGCATTTGGTGGGACACCAGCGGCTGCATGAGGGGGAGGCGATCTGGCTGGAGGAACACCCCACTCAGATGAACGGGCATGGCCAACGGGGTGGAATCGGGGTCCGGGCAGACGATGTTGAGCCTGGACTCGGACAAGAGACGTATCCCCCGTAAACTGTTCAGCAGATCCCAAGGGAGAACCAGATGAGAGGATGGCGGCCTGAAAGCAGAGTTTAGGCAGCCATCTTGAACCAAGCACAGGACTGTCATTGGTCACAGCCTTGCTCCCCAGAACTGGAGGCAGAAGGCCAGATCTGGGGCATAAGGCCCATGGAGTTGAAAGGGACCTTGGAGGCCTTCTGGTCCAACCCCCTGCGCAATCAGAAGACCCTGTCCCATTCTGGACCAATCTCTTCTTACGTGACTGATTCCTTGAGCTTTGCTGAGACTGAGATGTGGAGTGGGTCAAAAAAGTCAAAATGGCCACCAGCCCAATCCCTATTTTTGCCGATACTCGATAGGAGGTTCTACCGGTGCTGCGTTCAGTTCCTGGAGATCGAATTCTTAATTCTCTGTTTTCATCCCTGGTTAACTTCCTCTGTGGGAGGGAGGACATGGGAATTCTGGGAGTTCCAGCTTTAACTTGCCTAAGGTCAGGCGCAAAGAATCAGGACCACGTCTTAAATTCCAAGTCGCTTTAATCCCTCGTGCCTAAACTGGCTGAGTCCTTGTCGTATGACCGCAATCTAGCTCAACCTCTCCACTTGTTCAGTGAGCTGTGCCCATTTTACCACTGTCGTTAAGCAAATCCCCGCAGCCCTTAACATGGTTGAATCGGGCCTGCCCGTTGACATTTGCTGGTCGAAAGTCATAAAGAGGAGTCAGTTGTCATCTGAATTTTGAGTACGTCAACACAGAGATGCCACAACGATCATTAAGTGTGTCCCCGGGATGCAGCAACCTGTCATAAAAGATGAGTCAGCTGTCAAAACAGCTGAATTTTCATTACATTGACGTGGGATGCTACAACGGTCATAAGTGTGAAAAAACGGTCCCAAGTCATTCTTTGTTTTCAAGGCCATTGACATCCTGAACAGTTGCTAAATCATCCTTGTGTAACGACCCCCATAATCCCTCGAGGGGTGGAGTCTGGGCAGCTGAATGGAGCTGGCAGAGCCTTTACTGGCCGGATGCCCTTCCTGACGCCGATGCTGAGTTTTTGTTTGGCAGGTATATTATTCTCAATGTGCCCAGAGAGAGAAATAATCTGTTTCTATCTAGGATCGAACTCACAGCCTCGTGATGGTGAAGCGAGAGGTTCTACCAAAAGGCCATCGCACTGCCCTTGAAAGGTCACTAAATGTACTGTTGTAAGTCAAGGCCTGCCTACATTGTCACTGTATATTGTACATGTAATTGTACATTGCTCAGACTGTTCCTAATTATAGTGATAAAATAAAGGAAATAAAATTCATTTGAACAGATGAATCATTATATGTTGCAAATACTGCTACAAACAATCCTGCAAAGCTGAATTGCTGCTTTTAATTAATCGAGGGTGTTGAGAGGGACAAAGTTGCAGGTCAATTCACCCAATTGGGGGTGGAGGTGGGTGGGATTCTATTGGTTTGGCCTGGTTTGGGTGAACCAGTAGCTTCAACAATCAGCTGTGAGCGAACCGGTTTGCTCCGATGATCAGCTGTTTTTATACATAGGGTTTGCAGCAGAAGGTGAATTGCAAATGCTCTGCGCGCGCGTGTACCAAACCTGTTGTTATACCGGTTGAATCCCACTCCTGCACACTCTCCATATTTTATCCTGCAATGTGTTGGTAAGAAGCCCGACGGGAAGAATATTTTGGACTCGGACATACTGGCGAAAAATCCAGAAAACAAATTAAGGGATCATTTAAGAATAAAATCCAAGGAATGTGTGGCTAAAATTATTCGGACACATGATGTGAAGACCTAACTTACAGACAGTCCTTGAGTTACCACCACAATTGGGCCTTGGATTTCTGTTGCTCAACAAGACAGGTGTTCGATGAGTTTTGGCCCCATTGGGTGACCTTTCTCGCTGCCGCCGTTAAGCGAATCACCAAAGTCGTTCAGTCAGGGACGGGGTTGGGAAGCGAATCTGGCTTCCTGGTTGTCTCTTTGCTCGTCGGTCGCAAAAAGGGGATCGGGTGCCCCCCTCCGGGGACGCTGCGACCATCATAAATGCTAGCCCAGGGCGAAGAGTCTTGGATGACGTGACACTGGTTGTCGGTGTGAAACCCGGTCGAAAGTCATTTCAGGGCTGCTGTAAGTTTGAACGGTCATTAAATGAGTGGTTGTAAATCGAGGACTGCCTGTAGGTACCAAAGTATTTGCAGGATGCTAAAGGGGGTAACTCAGAGGTAGAAAAAGCAGCTACTCAGAAGTGAACTGCTGCCGGTTCGGACCGATTCGCCCAATCCGGTTGTTCCAACCACTTGCCCCCGCTGCTGTCCCATCCTATATAACTCACTCTCTGGCTCGCTCGCCCCTCCCACACAGCCCAACTGGTTCCCGTGGCTGCCCAAGGAGTTGTGCTGGAAGCCACGGGCATGAAATTGCTGTGTGTTGGAAGCCGCTCGCTCACATTTTCGGTTCTGCACTAGGCGAGCCAGTTGTTAACTTATGTGAAGGCCACCTCTGGTTAGGTTCTCCCCAGACCTCCCCTTCTGCAATTTCCCCTCTGTTCGACAGGGGCGCTGCAGCCAGTGGCCAGAGGGGGGGTCCTCCTTCCTCGCTGCACCACACTCTCCTCCCCCAAGAGGACAGCTTCCGGTGTAACTGCATGGACACTTCCGGCTCCCCATCGACCATGAGAAGAGGGGCGTGGCTTGCAAGAGGGGCTTGGAGATCCGCTCTACCAGAATTGGGGTGGGATTTGTTCCCCTCCCTGTGCCAAAACCCACGTCATATATTTAATATTCATTTAGTAAAGAACACTGAATATTTATTGAATTTAATCAAAGATTTGATTACATTTAATATATTTATAGTGTTAATATTTAGTACTAATAGTACCAATAATTTAATATTAATATCTTAAATTTAATAAAAGTCAAATATTTAATTTGTTTTCATTTAAATCATATAAATTATATTTATGTTGTTTGTTATATAAAATATGTAATATATGTAATATATTAATATATAATTATAATATTACATTATTTTATTATTGTATTGATACAACCCAAAAATATAATAATTACCAGTAATATTTAATAGTCTAATAATAAATGAATAGTAATACTACCATTCATGTATTATTAAATTAAAATATGACATATTTAATATATTTATAATATTTAGTAATTTAATTTAATACATCAATAGTATTACTATCAGTGGTGGAATTCAAATTTTTTTACTCCCAGTTCTGTGGTCATGGCTTGGTGGGAGTGGTAGGGGACGGAGACTGCAGAATCTCCAGCCAGAGGTGGTATTTGCGATTCTCCAAATACTGAAAATTTCCACTACCAGTTCTCCAGAACTGGTCAGAACCTGCTGAATACCTCCTCTGATTAATATTCATTAAATTGTTAAATATTTAATTGGTATTACAATTCATTTATTATCAAATTAAATTATTAAATATTTAATATATTTAATATTATTTATAATAGTTAATATTTTTAATTTAATAATACATAAATAGTATTACCATTCATTAAATTGTTAAATATTATTTAATTAGTACTATCCATGTATTATTAAACTAAATTATTAAATATTTAATAATTTAATTACATGAATAGTAATACTAATTAAATAATATTGAACCATTTAATTTATTAATACACAAATAGTACCGTAACACCCTTCATGTGTTATATTAAATTATTAAATATGCAGGTTATTCATTTATTATTAATAATACACTCAATATTTAATAATTTAATTTAATTCTAGTATGAGTGATTAAAATGCACAATAATGAATTGAATGACTATTAATCATAAATGAATATGCATCGTATTTAATATTAACCCTACAGGAATGACATGCATTTGTATTTAAGAACAATTAAAGAATCAAGTTAAATTATATAATTCAGATGTAAATTATCAGCAATCATTAAGTAGAATTATAAATTCCTCCTATTATTTATTATGAAATTGAACTATTAAAATTGGGTAGTAGTCAAATTGGTTTGATGTTGATTTGATATTTCGGCACCCTTGTTATTTTTTTTTTATTCAATTCAATTCCTGTCACACATGGTTCGTATGGGGGACTATGACGATATCAATCCATCCATCCATCAAATCAATCATTGATTCTATTGAGCAGGGGCTTGTCTAGATGACCAGTAAGGTCCCTTTCCAACTCTTGATTCTGTAAGGGTGTCCTGCTCGAGCAGGGGGTTGGACTAGATGACCGCCGAGGTCCCTTCAAACTTTCTGTAAGGGTGTCCTGCTCGAGCAGAGGGTTGGACTAGATGACCGCCAAGGTCCCTTCAAACTTTCTGTAAGGTTGTCTTGCTCGAGCAGGGGGTTGGACTAGATGACCACCGAGGTCCCTTCAAACTTTCTGTAAGGGTGTCTTGCTTGAGCCAGGGGGTTGGACTAGATGACCGCCGAGGTACCTTCCAACGCGGTGATTCTCTGATTCTATTTCTACAACCGCCCGGCTCCCTTTTGGCCGGCTTCCCCTGGGCGAAGAACACAAAACCAACATCTACATAAACATAGATTGGCCGCGCGTGGGGGAAAAACCGCCCGTGAGGGCGGATCGTAGTCCACACTCAACTCTTCAGAGCGACGGCCGGGGTTTTGACGCAGCAGCGGCGGGGCTCGTTCTGCGCAGGCGCGGCCGGCAAAAAAAAAAAAAAAAAAAGGCCATCCGGCGGGCGTCAGGACCCCGCGGCGCTTTCTCCTCCCTCCTCCTTCCCTTCGTCCCCCTCCCGCCTCCTCGCCCGGCTGAGCCTCGTTGTGCGGCGCTGCGCCCCGTCGCGCGGGGGGGGGGGGCGGGCAACAAAGGACC